AAAAAAAAAAAAAAAAAATAATAAGCACTTCGCTAGGAAACTAATCATGAATCGTTTTTATTTATAAACGCATTCAATGTTAAGTATAGAATTATAAACTTAATTACAAAAATTGACATAAATATGTTCATTGAAATATAAGTGACTTAGCTGGAACATCTAGGAGGCCTACCTATGCATCAAACATAATGTCGATCCAAACAAGAAAAGGAACAAAGCAAACAGAGAAAGAAAAACAAAAGAAACCATATAAACTAAAAAGACAAATTAACCTAAGTATATTCCAACATTCATAGAAGAGAATACATAGTTACGTAGAAACAAGTATATAAATGACCTCCATACCTTGCTCATTCCTAGCTGTAAACAAAATCGTCCCGGTTTCATCTCCCACGAGACACTCAGCGATTCGCACCTGGTGAGCTTGAGGCCCATCAGGCCTGCCCTTCCGCAACACCATCTTTGAGCTCACAACTTTCACCACCAGATTGTGCCCATTCGTTCCAGGGCGAAGCTGATCAACTTTGGTGAAAACTGGCTTTCTTTTGGTTTCCGCCATTATATATATAACCTATTATTAACTAACAATTATCAGCACCAAATAATCCAGAATGTCAAATATTTCAGAAAAAAAAAAAGAAGAAAAAAACCAACTAAGTAAACATTCCCATTCGGAAATTTCACCAACAATAAAAAACGTTAAATATTTAACAATTTAAAAACCGACTAACAAAAATCCCCAATTTCAAATTGCATCCCACATTCTGACACCAAACTATGATCAAAACAGTTAGAAAAAAAAAAAAAAAAGACGCGCAGCCTAGCAATTAGACAACTCTTCTTTTTTTTAAAAAAAGAAATGCATCATTATATTATGAAATGTCATACTCTTGTTTGTATTAGATTGTAAAGTGAGTATGAAAGTATGTATATTTGTTTCAGAAGTATGAAAATAAAAACAAATCTAACTACCTAATTCAATTAACACTAAAAAAATCACAACTCAATTGCTCCACTCCCCGGCAACGGCGCCAAAATTTAACCGCAAACGCAGAAAATTATTTCTATAAAGGTTTCCTCAACAAACTCCACTAACTAGTAGTAGCGGCGAATAAGTGTCAATCCCACGAAGATGAGTAGGAACTAAATTGTGATAATTCTCGTATTAATTGAAGACTTACAGTAAAAATACATGGAATTATTACATTAAATTATTTTTTCTTATCCAAGAATAACCAAAATCACAGAAAAAGAAAAGGTTAACATCGCCACAAAATTAATTTATTTTTTTTAAAAAAAGCCCATCACTATTCAATTACCTAAATAAGAATATTAGGTAAAGCCATAATCAAATCGAAATCTGAGTACAATCGAAAAAAACCTTCACATGTACAGAAATTAATAGAAAAACAAACGGATCTAACAAACGAGAGATATGAATTACCCTTGGAAAAAAGCATAGAACTGAGATGAAATTGAAAACTTTTGGAATAATTTTCTCATAAATATACAACACAAAGGGATCTAACCATTCTTCACAAGTGAAAAAAAAAAAAAAAAAATCTTCACACGAACACACAAATTAATAGACAGCAGCAAACGGATCTAACAATAGAGAAATTTTATATTATTAATAGAAACAAAAAACGGATCTTAGATTCCTTCATATTACACTAAGAAATTCTACACACGTACACAATTTTTTTCAGACAACAACAAACAGATCTACTAACAATCGAGAGATTTGGAATTACCTGTGGAAGTGTGTGAGAGCACAACACAAGAAGAGTAGATGAAATGGAATATTTATCGGAAAAAATTGTTATCTTGTTATTAGTTCACTCGTGTCGTTTTGTGGGTTTATAAAGACAGTCAGGATCGCAATCTGTGACCGTTGATCTACCGCATCCTTCGGCACATCTAAACCGTCTATCACATACCATGATAAACCGTCTTTATTAACGTTTACGAAAGCAGCCCAATTAGAATAGTCTCGTAGACTAGCCCAATTAATGTAGGGCAATTAAATACAACTCCAATTACCAGAGAGTCTTACTATTTACCGTCCCCTATTACTAGTCACCGCCCCTTTTGGACGATTTTGCTCTCTTCATTTTTTCTCTCTGTTAAAATGTCTTCTTCATCTGAGGTAATTTTTTTTTTTTTCGTCCGGCCGACGAAACCGGACGTGACCGACTGTGTCCAACCGACCAAACCGGACGGCCTAATGGCGTCCGGCCGGGTCGGCCGGACAACAATGGGTGCGGGCGGTATTTAGGGCCGTACGGACCGGTCCGTGTCCGGACAGACCGTCCGTACGGCCCAATTGGTGTCCGGCGGCGACGGCCAGACGGAACTCGGTCCGTCCGATCCGACCGGCCGGACACCATTTTTTTTTAATTTTATTATTATTGTTTTTTAAATAATATTATTAGAATTTATTTTGTTATAGAAATTATTTTTGAAATTAGAAATTATTATGTTATAAATTCGAAATAATTATGTTATAAATTGGACTTTAGATATTACCGTGTTAGGAGGTCGAAATAATTATGTTACAAATTGGACGTTAGATATTATCCTGTTAGGAGTTAGAAATTAATTAGATTTGTGTATCTATAAATTGAATGCTCGATATTATCGCGTTAGGAAATAGAAATTATTATGTTGTACAATCGAAATAATTATGTTATAAATTGGACTTTAGAAATTACCGTGTTAGGAGGTCGAAATAATTATGTTATAAATTGGACGTTAGATATTATCGCTTTAGGAATTAGAAATTATTATGTTATAGATTCGAAATAATTATGTTATAAATTGGACGTTAGATATTATCCTGTTAGGAGTTATAAACTAAATCTGGAACTTTTGGTTCCGTCAAACTCGCGACTCGCGACATTATCTCGCAACTCGCGACTTTTGAATCGCGACTCGCGAGTTTAACAGAGCCGAAATAGCCAAAATTCGGGACTCGTGAGATGAATTCGCGAGTCGCGAGTCGCGAATTTTGGCACTTTTGGCTATGTCAAACTCGCGACTTGCGACCAAAACTCGCGACTCGGGACAAATTCTCGCGACT